TCGCGCCTGTTTCGTATAGGTTGCGCATGTGTTTCGTGAGTGGTTCGTATATGTCAATGTTTCGTGCATGTGTCGCATACGTTTTGTGCTAGTGTCGTATACGTTACGTATATGTATCGTATGTGTGTCGTATATGTTTCGTATATGGTACGCATGCTGTTGCGTATATGGCTCGTATAGTTGCGCATAGATGTCGTACTTGGTTCGTATATGTGCAGTAAATGTTTCGTATACGTTTCGCATGCGTGTCGTACATGTTTCGTACATGGTTCGTATATGGTTTGTAAATCATTCGTATATGTTCCATCAATGGTTCGTGTATGTGTCGCATGGGTGTCGCGTGCGTTTCGTATATGTTTCGTAAACGTTTCGTATATGTTTCGTGCATGGACCGTATAGTTTCGTATAGGTGTCGCATGTATGTCGCATGTGGTTCGAATATGTTCCGCGTGTGTTTCGTACATGTTTCGTATATGATCCGGATACGGTTCGCATAAGTTTCGTATACGCTGTGTATATGTTTCGAAAATGTTTCGCATGTTTCGCATACGGTTCGCACGTGTTCCGCACATGCGCCGTATTTTTTTCTTTTTTTCAGGTGCTGCCCCAAAGAACGGGGCCCCACCCATGAGAACCTAAGAGGACCTAAGAGAGCCTTAGCCTAAAGCCCTAGACGCCCACCCCAGAGGCTCTGGGCACTTGGGCCCGAGAGGCCAGACGTGCCAGCGCGCGGCGCTAATGAATAACGAAACTCGCTCAACGTTTTCCTACGCGGACCTCGGGAGACAACTTGTCATCATTCACTGCTGAAAAATATACACATCTGTGTGCGGTCAGCGCACGCCTCCCCGGCAGACTGCAATGAACGCGACATCTGAAAGGCGTCAGCCTGCACTGAAGGGACGTAGCTCGCTCGGCCAAGAACTTCGCTAGGTCCGAGCGAGGGGGGAGGGATGCCCGACGGTAAACGGCAAAAGCCCCGCAGCATGATGATGACCACGGCTCGGGGGGGCGGCAGAACGAACGGGGCAGCGCGCGAGACCTGCGCCGAGGACCGAGGGCTGGGAGGGCGCCTTGAACTTGAAACGGTTCCGGGCGCAGGCAAGACCTGGAGACAACGTCCGAAACAACAAGACATGTCCCGCCCCTTGGCCCCTTCGCTAACCTGTCTGAAAATCAACGCTCAAAACTCACTAACCCATTGCAGGTGCGATCCCAAAGAACGGGGCCCCACCAATGAGAACCTAAGAGGACCTAAGAGAGCCTTAGCCGAAAGCCCTAGACGCCACACCCCATACGCTCTGGGCACTTGGGCCCGAGAGGCCAGACGTGCCAGCGCGTGGCGCTACTGAATAACGAAACTCGCTCAACGGTTTCCTGCGCGGACCTCGAGAGACAACTTGTTATCATTCACTGCTAAAAAATATACACATCTGTGTGCGGTCAGCGCACACCTCCCCGGCAGACTGCAATGAACGTGACATCTGAAAGGCGTCAGCCTGCACTGAAGGGATGCAGCTCGCTCGGCCAAGAACTTCGCTAGGTCCTCGCTTTCATCCATCCCGAACTCGCTCGCGGCCTATGCTGAGGGCTCGGCAGGCTTGATGGGGCTGGGCTCGGAGAACCTGTCGCCCTCGCCCGTCCTTGCCCCCGGGGAGCCCTCGTCGGCGGCGGCCCCGTCGGCGGAGAGGGGCTCGTCCTCGGCGCTGGGCGCCGACGACGAGCGCGAGGCCCCGTTCCCGTCTCGCCGCCAGGCCCAGGCGACCCTTGCTCCACCTCCAGATCTTCATCGGCACCGAGAGCGGCATGATGGCTGGGGCGTGCAGGAGCGCCGACTTGGACAGAGTGAGGTCTGGCTTGTCTATGGTCGCCTGGATGGCTTCTTGCAGCAGTTCCGAGATTCGAATCGTCTGAGTGGTAGCGTCCTTTGTCAGCGACCAGATGGGGTTGGCCCAGCGCACGTTGCAGGTAACTGCCACTGTCCTCCAGGCCAATCTCACATGGCCCGTGTCGAACCAGGCCATCCAGAGGTCCAGGGAGGTGTAGGATGAGTCGCTGATGAAGAGGTGCTTGTGGACCTCTACCAGCGGACGAGAAGGAGATGCAAAAATCAAAATATCCGCCAACGCCTGGAGCCAGTGGTCGGGCAGCCCCATCACCGCTCGAGCCTCTGGCGTAGTCAGTACGTCCTCTGCGTACTCGTTTCCATCGAAGAAGATGCGGCCAGCGGAGCTGTTGACCGTAACATTGGCGAGGTCGATGCCTTCCCACGCGGTCTCGGCGAGGCCGAGGGCGTTGTCGGTGAGGGCGCTGAAAATCCGGGCCGCACTCGACGACACGTTCGCGCCTGCCCCCATCATGCGGCCGGCGGCCGCGCCGACTTCCTCGGCCACGTCCGAGGCGATGCTCATGGAACGTGCGAACAGGGGGCTCCACGCCGTAGTCAGTAGCACCGCCAAGATGAGCACGGCACAGCTGCAGCTGCCACTGCAGCTGGAAGAAATCTTGAACAGCTTCCACAGGTACTACACTGAGGAAACGCGTCGGCGGGCTGGCTGCGGCCTGGGGGTCTTCCATGAGGTCGGCACTCCAGGCGCCGCCATGGCCAGCGGCGGCGGCGCCAGCCCCGTCGACGGCGGTGTCGGCGTCAAGCCAAAAGGTGAAATCAAACTGGTCGGAGTAGGTGGGTAGCTCGGTAATGCCCAGGACGAGTGCCCAGAAGAGAACGGTGATGGCGGTGGCGCACTCGCTCTGGCCGTCGGTGGCGTCTCTGGTGCTGTCCACGACCCGTCAGCCAGGCGCTTGGAGCCCTTCGGCGCCATGCAACGCCCGTAGCGCACACCGGGCCCAGCGTTGGCCGGCCCAATCGAAGGCTGGTCCCCACCCAGCCGACTTGAGCCCCACGGCTATGTGGGCGGCCTGGACCATGTCGATGTATACTCGAAGGGAACTATCCACCTTCCAACGGCCCGTTTCTCGAATCTGCTCGAAAGACATACCCCGCGCCGTGGCCTCCGAAGCGAGACCTGCTCGGGCACTGTGGGGGACCCATCCCATTGGTAGGTTACACTCCGACTGGATGCGAGCGAGCAACTTGCGGTACTTCTCGAGGGTGCGGGGGAACATGCGGTCCCCAGGGGGCGCGTGAGCCTTCAGGGTCCTCAAGAGATTCACCAATACAGGGCTGGAGGCCTCCAGGATGGCGTTCGACTGGGGGCGCTTCGCTTTGGCGTTCGCCTTGATACCCAAGCCTACTATCAGGGGCCCTCGACCTCGGCCGTACCCAGACTCCTCGGGGAAGACGAGATCGGACGTGACGATCCCCAGCATCTCGCTGGGCCGCATCCCCACTTTTCCCTGCAACATGAGGCCGATGGCTAGACGAGGCTCTCCGAGCGCACTGAGGCGAACGCTGACGAAAGCCTGGGCGGCGCTCACCATCGGCACTGCGCGCCCGGTCTGGTGCTCTAACTCCCAGCCACGCAAGGCGGCGTGGCATCTGCAAAGGCGGCCCTTCAGCCGCGGCAACTTGAATTCGATAGCGGCGAGCAGGGAGGTGACATGACCCTTGAGCAAGTCCACTGAGGCCTTGTACTCCATGATCGTGTCGCCCCACTCGTCTGGACTCCAGGGGCGGGCCCCCTCGGCCACACACCACTGGTAGAACTCCGCTGCTCGCTCGCGATAGGTTAGCAATGTCTCTGGCTGCACACGGCCCTTTAGGTGCTTGTCGTCTGGCACCCTCGGGCTAGTCAAAGCCAGTTCTGAGTGATGCGCACGCTGCGCACGTCCATTCTCGGCACCGGGGCGTTGTGCCCCTCTGGATCCTGACCACATCCTCTCATGCGTCAGAGGCCGTCCGCGGGCATTCTCTCGGTCTCCACCCAGGGGAGGTGCATCCTGATCTCCGTGGTGCTCGACAACGCGCACCTCCGCCTGAGCAGGTAGTTCACGGGGCCAGCGGCCGATCGGCCCTTGGCCGCTGCACCCGCAAAAGCCATGTTGTCCTCGAGGCTGAGGGCCTTCGAGCGGTGCGCCTCCGGCACGAGCGCCAGACGCATCAGGACCTTCAGCGCGGCCCGCCCCCCCCCCCCAGCACGATGTGGTCGGGCACCTTCCAGCGACCCGACTCGACCGGGATCCAGGAGGCCCCCCCGTCGATCCAACCCCTCTCGACTGAACTCACTGGCAGGAAAGGCTGCAGCGCCTCAGGACCTCGCTCCAGCACCTTCTGCAACTGCCCTGGCTTGGCGACGGCCACGCCTGGGCGGGCACCAGCGTTCCACAGCCTCTCCAAGATCTTCGAGTCCGCCGCGGCCACGACGACGCCGTAGCTGCCCGCGTCGGAGCCCTGCGCACCCTCGGCGTCCGAGGCGAAAACCATCGGTAGTAGCGGGGCCCCCAGGTCGGCGCAGAGCCCCATGATCCCCCGCCGCGTGGCCACAGCCTCGCGGCGGGCCGACGGCCACCACCGCCGCCAGCGCGGCCCCTCCTGGCGCACGAAATGGAACAGGTGCTGAGGCGCCGACAGCCAGTGCCTGGCCAGCAGCGCCGCCCAGATCCAGACGCCCATGACCGACGCCAGGTGGTCCAGGTGCACCCAGTCCCGGCTCGTGAGCAGCAGCAGCGCCTCGTACACGAGCGCCGCCTTGCGCCTCGGGACCCGCACGCGTGCGGGGCTGGCCTTCACCTCGTAGCCTACGACGCGGCCCACCATGCCGTGCTCCCTCTGGTCCTTCACAACGAAGCCCACGTCCTCCAGCGCGTCGGCCACCTGGTGGACCAGCTTGTTGACCTTCTTCTCGCCCGACTGCTGGGACCCCCGCCGTCCGCGACAATCAGGCCGTCGTCGATGTAGAGGTAGAAGCTCGTGTCCCTCGCGCCCAGTGCAGCCCCGCGACCTCGCGAGGACGTCTCATTCAAGAAATGAAAAGCGCCGAGGTCCAGGGGCCCCGAGTAGCACGTAATTCTCTGACACTTCATTCCATCTCGTACATGTCCTGCGTGCCCGCCGACGGTCTGCGCCATCTCCGACAGCGTGGCCACGATGCCCTCTGCTATCCACCTACACAGTCGAAGCGGGTAGGTGGCCAGCTTGGTCGTCCGAATGCTCCCGTTAACCTTACCGTAGCTCAGCTCGTATGTGTGGGCTCCGTCGCAGCGTAGTGCTCCGGCGGCCGCCAGTCGCACCGCGCCTGTGACCCTCGTAGGCTTCTGCGAGGGCCCGCCCATCATGCATTGGTCAAAAGAGATGCGCCGCGCTCCTGTCGTGGACTCCAGGCCCTTCAAAATCTCGGCATCGAAGATGGACGGATACGGGTCCTCCTCAGGGTCGCCCGGATGCTCAAGGGCCCACGCTCCTCCGCGGTCCCCCACCCCGCCGCACAACGCCCGGTGGTTGACCATCAGGCGGTTGCCCTCGTCCAGTCGCTCCACCTCGGAGGGCCGCAGCCTCCCGGGGCAGCCCCCACGCATACTTCCCCCGACGTCGCAAAGGTCGTGGGCCCCCAGGCCTGAACCTCGCACGACTCCAGGTCGAGCAGGGGGGGCCGCCCAGGATCACGTCTACCAAGCCCTCGGCCACCAGAGACCAGAGCTGCTCGAACGTGTCGACGCGCCCGAGGTCCCACCGCGAGTCCTCGGCCAGGCCCACCGAGATCATGCGCACCTCCAGCTCCAGGTCGGCCATCACCGCCTCGACGAAGTGCTTCACGTCCTGCCCCCTCCGGGCCCCCGCGAACAAGTGCATGACCACGATGACGCGGGTCTCCTGCAGCCGCGCTCGGCGCACTGCCTCGCACCAGCTCGCCACCGAAAACCCACTCGGAGGGGGGGCGTCGTCTCGTCGGAGTCGTTGGCGCTCAGCCCAGTCATCGTCATTCAGCATCTGGTATCGGGCCTGCCACTGCAGAGTACGTTCACGCTTTGGGTCCACCAAGCTCCGCCTCGGCGCCATGGAACAGATCCTCGCGTTGATCGACATCAGGATGTGCACGCCGTGGGAGCTCCCCATGACCAAGCGGCGCCACATCGGGTAGACCCAGCCCTCAGGTTCTAGGGAGCCCCGCTGGCGGGGCGTCAGGCGCCACCAGACGGCGGACGCCCGCACGGGCGGCACGCACTGCCACCCCCACATCCAGCTCGGCACCTCCACGAAAAAGAAGGCGTTGCTCTCGTCGAACGCCGCTGCAGCCCAGTCGTCCGAGGGGACATGTAGGCTGGCCAGCGCGCCGCCCCCGTGCAATCCGTGTTCAGCTCGTCCCCTCAGGTCCTGAAACATGTAGTTAGCCGCCACCATCATGATAATATTGCGCTGCCGCCCGCTGGTCTTATTGCCCACTGCGCTGAAGCCCGCGATGGCCTTCACCTCCTGCGGGTCCCCGAAGTGCCATAGGTTGGGCGGCATGTCCGCGCGGCTGAAGTACTTCTCGTACTCCTCGTGGATTCCCCCGACGAAACCGAACTTGGCCTGCAGCTCCTCGAAGATCTCGCGGCTGCGCGCCTCCGGCGGGGCAACTACGAGCCACTCGTCGCTGTAGTACCTGGCCTCCTCTGGTTCGAGCGCCTCGAGCATGTTCACACTCTTCACCACCTGCGGCTCATCAATGTCCACTGCTCCCAAGGCCTCATGGGTCGACAGACGGGTAGGTAGCTTGCCGTAGCCCACCTCCTCCACACGAGCCAGCTCCAGCACAGCGGGGACGCCTGTCAGACCGCAGTCCCGGCGCGCCTCTGCCAGCCGTTTAGCATCTCGTAGAGCTACCCTATGCACCTGACCGCGCAGCCCCCGCACGTTCTCCGACAAGCTCTCCTTGCGGCGGGGGCGGGCGAGGTCCTAGCACGAGCCCGCGCCCATGGAATTGACCCCCTGCACGAACTCGTTGGCGAGAACCCACAGAGTGAGCTCCCGCTTGAATCGATGCCGAAGTCGACTAGATCGACTCGTCACCTGGGTTGGGCGATCCACCAGCGCGATGGGAAAGAACGCCTCCTGTTCCGGCTGTGCCGAGATCACCTGCTTCAGCGAGGGGCGCAGATCGCCACGCACTCTAGGCATCCCACACCGCTGCAGGACTCCGCGCCCCGACGGCAGGCTCGTCGGGGCGCGCCGAGAGCTCCTACTCATGCTTGGAGTCGGCGGACTTGCCGCCACGACCTCCGCCTCGACCTCCCCCGCGACCGTCTCTCCGACCGCCGCCCTTGTCGTTCTTGCGCCTGTGGCGTGCCTCGGCCTCGACTCTCTCCCTGCGCTGGTGCTCGATCTTCGAGTGCATTGTCGCTGAGGCCACCACCCACGTCGGCGCCGCGTCGGCCGAGCCGCCTGGCGGCGCGATGCCCAACATGCGCTGGGCCCCGACGCGGTCGCCGCTCCGCTGCTCGCACACGTACGCGACCGACGTGGCTGAGGTCCACAGGTCGACCCACACTGGGCTGGTCCTGCCCCCCTGGTGGCGTCGAGCAATCCAGTCACGCGCACTCGTCGACCCCTCGCCTCTCATC